GATTATGAGCTAAATTCTGGAATTCCGAAGGGATGATCCTTGGCAGATCTGGGGATATGTGCTCTGGACCTGTAATGTCTTAGAGGAGTTTGAGCCTGTTGGGTTATCTTTGACCTGTTGTCTTCACCATCTTTTAGTAGAAATTAGTGAGATTGGATCCTTTGCTTAGACTCCCCGGAATTGTATCCCTCTTGTGAGCGTGACTCCCTTATCAACTACTAGTATGAAGTGGGAGGCACTGCGATGAGCTATGAGATTATTGTCTCTTTTTTGTTTCTTGTGGTTTGTGTGGGGAGGTTGGTTATCAAGCTATTCCAAAACTTATGTAATGACCTCTAAACCCTTAAATGTGGTAGACAGGAATCTCAACCTTTGGGGAGTGTTGTGCCTCTCCCAGGGGAGCCTTGATCCCTGTTACCTATTTAGTTGGGGTGAGATAAGCAACAGGTATTTGCAAGCCTAAGAGAGTATACTTCAGAGGTTGCTTGATCTGTGGCTAGAGAGGAGCTACTAAAAAGTTATTCAGAGGTCATTCGCTGCATATGTCTGGCAGCTCCTGGTGGAAAGTGTCTTTTGGTGTAATTGTTAGGGATTCTGGTTGAGATTTTCCTTCTCAGAACACAAGCCTGTAATTTGACAACTGCCTGGATACCAAGGACAAGCCCCTGTATTCTCCTTTTAACAGATGATCCAAACCAACTCGCTGTAGTATGGCATCAACTCTTTTTACTCCGCCCCTCCAAGGATGGGGTTTATCTGGTTGTTATGAAGTAAAAGCCTCAGGGCTGTTGAAGAGGCCCTGCCCAAGGCTGTTGAGGGATGCAGATCAGAGAGCAACCTGCCTGGCTGCTCTGCTCCTGCATAGGAGGGGTCAGGCCCTTCCCTATGAAATACCAGTGGCCTCCTTGCAGACAAGGACCTTCCGCAACCCAGGTGGGTCTTAGCCCTAAAAGTGGACTCCCTCACCACTGCACACTTCCAGGGCTGGGGGCTGATCCTTTGGCTGAAGGCCTTGTCTACCAAGTCGCCTCCAGGAGATGGGCTCAGGTCTCAGCTTGGGTAGCAGTCTAGAGAGCTGTTATTAAACCCTTTCAGGGGAGGGATCTGGGCCTTTGGTGAAAAACAGGCCAGCAATAGATAATAAGCAATAGGAGATAGGAGTCCAGCCTCTGGTTTCAGCTTGAATAATGGCTTGTTTCACTATTCTGCCCATAGGTGGAGTCTGTAGTTTTGGAGAGAAGCACCTAGCTCAAAACCCCAGAACCTGTAGGGGTTGTCCCTAGTCAGGGTTGGAAAATCACTCTCCTTCCTAATTCCACCCTGCTAGGGTGGATTCTATTCATTAGGTGCAAAACAGAGGCGGCTGGGTGGGATGGGGGACTGCCTGACCTCACTGGGGGACACTGCCTGGAGAGCAGTCTCTCTCCCTCTTCCCCCCCCTCACTGGTGGGACTTGGGTCACTGGGGTCTGCCAGGAGGCTTCACCAAGGAGCAAGCTCCTTCCCTCTTCCACCCCCACCCCCCCAGACAACAGAGGCGCTTGAGCGGCCGGGACCACTGAGAGGTTCCACCGAGGGGTGAAAACTTTGCCTTTTCTGTGCGTCACCAGCGGAGCCTGGGCCACTGAAGCCCCCTGGGGGGGTCCGCAGAGGATTGAGCTCCCTCCCTCTTTCGCCCCCTCACCAGCAGCACTTGGGTCACCGAAGTCCACCAGACAACTCAGCCAAATGAGCAATCTGTCTCACTTTTCTGCCCCTTCAAAAGCAAGGCATAAGCCGCTGGTGTGTTCAGATCTCCCAGCCAAGGAGTCCCTGCACCGTGCACTGGAGAGTTCAAATTGCTTTCCACTCCTGGCTCCTCTCCAAACTGCCTGACCACCCGTGTTACCTCTTCGCGCTGGCTGCAGGCACTTTGCTGCTAGCATGGGTGTGGAGGTCAGTGAAGGAGAAGGCGTCCCTGTGTGGGGCAGATGCCACAGTCCCGGCCGGCCGGGTGCTTAGCGCAGCCGGCTTGCGCTCCAGTCTCCGCAGGACAGCTCAAACTCTCGGAACTTTGGTGGGTGACGGAGAAGTCGTCCACCTGTGGGACGGATCACACAGTCCCATTCGGCTGGCCACTGAGCGCAGCCAGCTTGCAGTCCAATAAATCCCCGCTGTACAACTCGGATTATCGGAACTTTACGGCAAATCCACTGAGTCATTTCCTCCTTTTCCCAGCACTGCTTCCCCTAGAAGCTTCCCTGCAATTCCATGAAGCAGATCCTGTGAGAGAACTACCCACTAGAGTGATTTAGACTGTTTGCTTCACCTCCCACTCTGAGAGCAGAGAGCCAGGTCATCCCTAATCCGCCATTGTTGAAAATCCTAGAATTAATTTCACCTGTTTCTTTTTACTTTCTGGATATGGTTACTAGAAAATTTAAACACGCAACTTACATTTTTGGCTTCCATTGTATTTCCTTTGGATAGTTCTGGTCTAGAAATAATGATAGTTATTTCCCCCCACCATCCTTTTGCTCATATTGAGCTTGTGAGAACCACCAATATATTATTGCATAAAAGCTACTATAGTAAGCACTTGCTTTATTCTTGACTTTAAAGAAAATGCTTCTAATGGTTTATCATTAAATATAATAGTTGCTACAGCTTTGCGGTAAACACCCTGTAGAAAATTCCTTTTGTTCTTTATTTGTTAAATGTTTTACAATAAGTGATTTATTGATTTTATTAGATGATGCATAAGCATCTTTTTATATTCAGATAATATTAATTACATTCATAGATTTACATACTATATACATTTATGTAGATTTTTTAAAAAAACAAATTTTTTTCCAAGGGTTGTGATTAAAAAATGCCCATTTTCTGCCTGCTTCTGAGTCTCATGCCCAAGAGGTAACCACATTCAACTCCTTAGAGGCTTCTCTTTCTATTGAGTTCCATGTTTCCAGTTCTGTCAAATAGATTCTAAATATAGTTTATATTATAATTTCTTAATATTTTCAATTTTAGATAATTTATATTAACTCCACACTCATGGAAAAGAGAATAGTCCTCTCTGTTTTTTTCTCCTTCTCTCTCTCTCTCACACACACAGTCCCCATTGCTCCACTATCACTATATGATAATTTATTTTTAAATCAATATGCGACATTCAGATTGTTATGAACATGTAAATATTGTTTACAGCTGAATATTGTTCACATGTACTGTATTATTATATACTCTTACAAACATTTTGCTTTTCATGTATTAATATTGGCATCATTTTTTATATTTACCTAGTTTTCTGTATATTGATATAATTCATCCCATAACTCTCCAAAATTGTACATCATCTCTCAGTACATCCAAATGTATTCTTCTTGTCCCATATTTTTGAGGGGGAAAAAATCTTTTGGAACATTGCTTTCCTTTCCTGATCTGAATTGAGATTGCTCTCATAGTTTGTTTTTGTCGATTTTATTATATGAAGGAAATATTTTGTCAATTTAAAACCATTTCAAATTATGATAAAATGATACAACAAAACACTATTTATAAGAAAAAGGGTATAAAACAATTTCCAAACTATATTGTTAAGTAAAAAGAAAGCAAAATGTTCAAGAATATGTAGATACAGCCGGGGGCGGTGGCTCAGACCTGTAATCCTAGCAGTCTGGGAAGCCCTGGTGGGAGGATAGCTTGAGCTCAGTAGCTGGAGACCACCCTGAGCAAGAGTGAGATCCGTCTCTACAAAAATAGAAAAATTAGCTGGGCGTGGTGGCACATGCCTGTAGTCCCAGCTGCTCGGGAGGCTGAGGCAGAAGAATCACTGGAGCCCAGGAGTGTGAGGTTGCTGTGAGCTAGGCTGACACAACGGCACTCTAGTCTGGGCAACAGAGCAAGAATCTGTCTCACAAAAAAAAAAAAAAAGAACATGTAGATAACGTAGTGCTCAAATTAAATCATTAAAAAAAGAATATATAGATAATGTTTCTATTAGTATAAAAAATTTCAGATTATATATCCATACATGTTTGCATTATATATAAACATATATACTATGATTACTATATATAGCACATATGCAATTTATATATAATATAGACACTTACACACTTTATTTGTAGTATATTTATTATATATAAACATATATGACAGTATATATAAGAAACTGAGAATCATAGTTACTCTGAAAAGGCACTTAGGGGACTGGCATTCAGGGTGGGAGAGAGAATTACTCTGTACTTTTAATAATATTTTTACTGTTTGCCTTTTAACACATATATACATTACCTTTTCAAAAATAAAAACACAATTTAATTTTTTCAAGAGTTTCAAGCTTCTAGGACTACCATACTGTACTAAAATAATTAGAATCCATTTCTATGAAATTACTGTTGCTGTCTTAAAGAAATTGTGCAGCATAAAGAGGTACCATGAGAGCTGAGGATAGACTGAAAGGGACAAAAAGTGCATCTTTGTTTGTTTTCTGTTGCTTACAACAGAATACCTGAAACAGGGTGATTTATAAAGAAAAGGAATTTACTTCTTACACTTGTGAAGGCTAAGTCCAAGATCAAGGGGCTGCACCTGGTGAGAGCTTTCTTGCTGGTGGGGACTGTAGAGTCCTGAGATGGCACTGGGCATCCCATGGTGAGGGGCTGAGTGTGCCAACGTGCTAGCTCGGGTCTCTCTTCCTCTTCTTATAAGGTCACTAGTTCCCAGCCCTTGATAACCCACTAATCCATGAATCCATGAATAGCAGAGCCCTCATGACACAATCACCTCTTAAAGGTCCCTCAATAATACCACATTGGGGATTAGGTTTCAACATGAGTTTTGGAGGGAACATTCAAACCATAGCAGAGTGGAAATAGGGAGACCAACCTAAAGGCCACTGCAACAGCCCAGGTGAGAGAAACGGTAGCTGGGTCTATGGCGGTAGCCAGAGAAGTAACGAAAGATGGTCAGCATTGGGAGAAATAGATTATAGATATAGATGTAGACACAGATGAGTAAAATAAAAAAGATATCACATTTTATTGTCAGCAGAATCTCTATATACAGTTTTATACAATTTAAAATGGATAATATTAACTATACAAAGCCCACTAGCATTTACATGGTTATTTCAACAGGTTTTGTGCTATGTGATTTAATGAATTTTACAAACAATTAGTTACTTAGCACCGTTTCAGTTAAAAGTATCAGCTTTAAACTCAGGCACACACGCACACACACACACACACACACACACACACACATACACACACACACACATCACCACACATAATCAAACATCAATATTCCAAACCCAGAAAATCAATGACTAACTTACAAAGTAAATACTATCTTTAAAAACAGTGGTATAAAAATTAGGTTAAAAGCAATTGCTTGAAATTTAGGTTAAAAGCTATTGCTTGAAGTTTTTCAAACCTAATCCCCCCAAAACATCAGCAAATTAAGAATTTTAAGAACAACCACCATATTCCGGTAAAGTTGAATATGACTGCTTCACAATCAACATCACATATATCAGAAAAGCATCATTTCTGGTTGTCAAAACAATGACTTCCTTGCTATTTTGAACTGTAGCTTTATGTTAACAACTTATATAAATGAGTTGAAAATGTGATTCTTTCCGATTCAAATTAAAATGAGGGTGCTGATATTAATACAACGTTACCTCAAATAATTAAGAAATTGTATTTATCTGTTAGCCAAGAGGCCAAATCATCCCCAGTAACTGTCCTGTAATACCAAAGGGAATATATTTCCTCACTAATGAAGCACAGATCTGGGCTGTAGTTCTGTTCTGCCATGAGCTAGCAGTGTGAAGTGAACCCAAGAATTTCATTTTCTCAGCTAAAGAATTTAAGGAGTTTGGTTAAGGTGGCCTGCAAAGGACTTTGCTACTAAAAAACAAGTTAAGCCAGCTTGAGAATTTCTGCTTTGAGATGATATTTAGGGTGAAGTAAGAAGTAAATTTTTTTTTTAATTTATTTTATATTTCATCGAACCACTTGTATTGACAGAAGTAAATTTTTTAAAAAGATATATGAACTTATTTTTTTGTGCACGTGCAATACCATAATTCATAACTACCTATAGTGTTGATCCGGAAAAATGTTGCTCATGGAATGTGAATATAATTATTATAACTGATATTATTAAAAAGTCTGAGAATGAAGCATCAAACAATAAAAATGTTTAAAATCTTTAAAGTATTTGTGATATTTGGGTTTAAATAAATGATGCACTACTACCAGTTACAATATCCTACCTTTGAATTTTAAAAGCTAAGAATCTGAGCAGATGGAAAGTGACAAATTTCAAGTCATTCTGTTAGAAAAATAATCAATACATACCAATTGAAAAATACCTGGAAATACCATCAAGAAAACAAAGATAATAAAAGCTGGTTTCCACAGAAGATGATTCCTTTCACCAAAGCACCACACACATTTGCTATCTTAACACATGCACAGAGACAGACAGACACATACACACACACATAGACACATATACACATACATTATCTTGAATAAATTGAACAAAAATAAATATTAAAAAATATTCTATGACCCAGAGTAGAATAGCTTTCTCTATTCCAATGATGCATGTACATTTCTAATTGGTTCTTCTTTTCTGTCTCCATTATAAGGACCACTTCATGAGTTTCTAGTTCAATGCCATTGCAGGTATCTTACAAATTCTGTACCTCTCAAGGTTACAAGGAATATTATTCCAGGCCCATTTATCTTTTGTATAAAGAAGAACAACACAGTTTTCTTCCTTATAGTTGTTAGGTTCACCCTTATGCCAGAACCTGAAAGGAAATAAATAGATAGATATAAATACAGATATAGATAGATATCAGAGAAAAATTCAGAGAAAATGCCCCCAGCATGTATTTTAGAGCTGCACTGTCTAATGCAACAGTCACTAGCCACATGTGACTCCTGAGCCCTCGACATGTGGCTTCTCTGTATTGAGATGTGTTTTAAGCATTAAGTGCACACTATATCTTGAATATTTATTATAAGAAAAGATGTAAAAGATCTCAGTAATAATTTTATATTGATTACATGTTCAAATGATAAGATTTGGATATATCCAGCTAAATGTATTATTAATTATTAACATACTATTAAAATAAATTTCACTTGTGTTTTTATTTTCTTAATGTGGGTACGAAAAAAATGTTGAATTCCATAGGTGGCTTTGCATTATATTTGTACTAAACAACACTGGCTTCAAAGAAGAAAATGACAAAGTTATAACCCTGTTTCAAAAAACAATTTTTATCTCTTCCATTGTTTAGCCAAATTGTAAATCTAAGAAAATTTTTTTCATATCACTCTCAATTTATCTGTTCTTTCACTGACACTGTGCAAATAAGGATACTGAAAGCTTCACAGAAGTCATAGGCTCATTCTGTAACTGGAACATAGCATACAGAAGTTACTGAACATATATAGTGTTCTATTCTGGGTAATATTTTTTAAATAGCTGTACTCCATCCCAAAACGAATTCTTCTTGCTACCTTCTCCCCACCTTCACCTGTAAATCTCTTTAGTCCCACTCAATATACTCACACCATGTGCATGTTAAATGGCGTCTGGTCCACCCAGCGCCACTGACCTTCAGTGTTCTCATCTGTAAGTCCTAGGAAATACGAGAACTGTCTATCCAAAAATTGAATAACAAAATTCTGCGAAAACAAGAAATGTAAATTTTTAAAAATATATTTGCATTTATCAGGTAATGGCTTGTTAGGCTGTTATGTTAGAGAAAAATGAAAGAAGTCGAATAGATTATTGGTTAAGCACAAAAGCTTTGGCATCAGATAGACCTACATTTTTTGATGTTGTTGGATCATGTTTATTTATTTATTTATTTTCTTTAAAAGTGTTACAGGGTAAAAATAATTTTGGTCACATGGATTGCTTTTATAATACCTGAGTCATGGCTATAGGAGTGCTTGTCATCCAGGTATTGTTCATTGTACCCGTTAGGTAGGTTTTCACCCATCCCCTCTTTCTCCCTCCCCCTGGTTGATTTCTGTTGAGTTTTACTTCCCTCTATGCACATGAGTGCTCATCCGTTAGCTCCAGTTTAATAGTGAGTACATGTGGTGTTTGTTTTCCCATTCTTCACTTAGGATAATGGTCTCCAGTACCATCCAACTTGCTGCAAAAGGCATTAAGTCATTCTTCCTTATGGCTGAGTAGTACTCCATGGTGTACCTATACCACATTTTGTCAATCTACTCAAGAATTGATGGGCATTTGGGTTGATTCCACATCCTTGCATTTGTGAATTGTGCTGCATTTGAGTGCAGTGTCTTTTTGATAAAATGACTTCTTTTCCTGTGAGTAAATACCCACTAGTGGGATTGCTGAATCAAATGGTAGGTCAACTTTTAGTTCTTTGAGAAATCTCCATACTAATTCCATAGAATTTGTACTAATTTGCAATCCCACCAACAGTATATAAATGTTCCTTTCTCTCTGCATCCATGCTAGCATCTATTGTTTTTGGACTTTTTAATAAAGGCCATTCTGACTGGGGCAAGATGATATTTTATTGTGGTTTTAACATCCATTTCCCTGAGGATTAGTGACATTGAGCATTTTTTCATATGTTTATTGGCCATTTGTCTACCTTCTTTTGAAAAGCTTTTGTTTGTGTCTTTTGCCCACTTTTTAATGTGGTTGTTTGTTTTTTCTTGCTGATTTGCTTGAGTTCTTTATAGATTCTTGTTATTAGTCCTTTATTGGATGTATAGCTTGTGAATATTTTCTCCCATTCTGTATGTTGTCTGTTTGCTCTGTTAATTCTTTCCTTGGCTGTGTAGGACATTTTTAATTTAATCAAGTCCCATTTATGTATTTTTGTTGTTGCTGTCATTGCCATTGCTATCTTCTTCATAAATTCTTTGCCTACGCCGATATCTAGAAGAGATTTTCCTACATTTTCTTCTAGAATTCTTATGGTTTCGTGCTTTATGTTTAAGTCTTTTATCCATCTTGAATTAATTTTTGTGAGTGGTGAGAGATATGGATCCTGTTTCATTCTTCTGCATGTGGTTATCCAATTTTCCTGACACCATTTATTGAATAGGGCTTCTTTCCCCCACTGTATGCTGTTGTCTACTTTGTAAAAGATCAGTTAGCTGTTATGTGGATGGTTTGATATCTGGGTTTTCTGTTCTGTTCCATTGGTCTATGTCTCTATTTTTGTGCCAATACCATACTGATTTAGTTGCTATAGCCTTGTAGTATAGTTTGAAGTCTGGTAATGTGATACCTCCTAATTTGTTTCCTTAAGATAAATAGATCTATTTTCAAATCCTCATTGTTGTTAGTAAGCACTTTAATCTCAGCAACCCCTAATTTTGCTCATCTCTAGAGGGGACAACTGCACTACTTCACAGAGTTACTGTGAAGATGAAATGAGATAATACTTATAATCCTCTCAGTACAATACTTAATAGGATTGGATTTTTAAGGAGCTTTTGTTTTTAAAATCAACTTTCTAAATTGTTTACATATTACATTAAATCCCTCTTTTTTTTTTGGAGACAGAGTCTCGCACTTGCTGCTCGGGCTAGAGTGCCGTGGCATCAGCCTAGCTCACAGCAACCTCAAACTCTTAGGCTTAAGCAATCCTTCTGCCTCAGCCTCCCGAGTAGCTGGGACTACAGGAATGTGCCACCATGCCCAGCTAATTTTTTCTATATATTTTTAGTAGTCCAGCTAATTTCTTTCTATTTTTAGTAGAGACGGGGGTCTCACTCTTGCTCCAGCTGGTCTCTAACTCCTGACCTCGAGTCATACTCCCACCTGAGCCTCCCAGAGTGCTAGGATTACAGGTGTGAGCCACTACGCCCAGCCATTAAAGCCCATTTCATTCGAAGAGTCAGTTAGCCTGTAGATTGCAAAGCCATGAAAACAGACTCCTCAAGGAAAATTCCTTGACCACAAAAAGAGCAGACTCTGAAAAACAAATACCGCATGTACTCACTATTAAAATGGAACTAACTAATGAGCACACATGTGCACAGAGAGAAGTGAAATTCAGTGGAAATCAAGTAAGGGGGAGAGAGAGGGGGAGGAGGGGATGGGTGAAAACCTACCTAACAGGTACAGTGCACATTATCTGAGTGATGGACACACTTATAGCCCTGATTCAAGCATTACAAAAGCAATCTATGTAACCAAAAATATTTATACCCCTGTAATATTTTGAAATTTAAAAAAAGAGTAGAATCTTAGTCATGGTACATATATGGAAACACATTACATGAGGAAATAAAGTTCAGCTTTTAAAGATTTGAATTTACCTTAAGATTTCTTCATTCAGAATCAGAACCATACATTTGAACTATTTTTCCTATACCTTATACTGAGAAAATATTTCAGGACTGGTTAACTTCCTAACGAAACATTTATCAAGACCTAACCAGTGTCCCTGGCACTCCACAGGACACTAAAGGTGCGAAGACGAGTAGAGCAAGGCCCAGCCCTCCACCAAGTAGGCATCACCAGAAGAGATGGAATGGCGAATAGACAACTATAGGTCACTGGAGTAAATGCCAGTGATCTCACTGTGCACAAAGTACTGCAGAAGTACCTCCAACTTACAACAGGGAGTGTGGAGTAGGGAAGGTGCTCAGGCTAGTTTTCTGGATGAAATAACACAGGAATTAAATCCGGAAACACCAAAAGAAGTTGGCCATAGGAGGAAAAATGGGAGGGGAAGAAAAGTCTTCCCAGCTGGGTGAAGAGGTGAAGCAAAGAGATGGTGGTAATGGAACAGAGAAATTCCTCTTTCTCTGCAGAGATTCAAACCAGCAGAGAAACTGATGTGATCCTCCTGACACACCTGTTCAGCTTCTGTGCTGATGGTCGCCAGATGAGCCCCCATCCCTGAACAGTTTCTTTCACTCTCAGCCCACGTCTTGTTGTCATTAAGAGGAAGAAAGCAGCTGGACTGGAAGGCTCTCCAGAGAACGGGACAGCAATTCCAGGTGCTCCCTCAGGTGAAAATTGAAACGGAAATTATTTCATCTGCAACAGGTTGCACAACCATTCTACAAGATAATATCCAATTAATACTTGTGGGAATAAGGCCAGGATTACCAAAATCATTGTTTCCCCCTCCCCTCCAAAAAATCCTTAACATTACATTTCTAAATATATTCTAAAGGTGAGTATTGGAAATCACATAATGACTATGAGAAAATTACAAAGTATACTCTTAGAAGACGTTATTATTATTCAAGTTCCATACATCTATTTACTTGCATATTAAAGTGTTTCCACCGCACAGCTTTTTGCAGACATTTTATGTGAAGAGGCAAAGAATCTGCTAACCTCAAGCATTCTCCCCTTCTCCCAAATGAGACTTTACAAATTCCAGAATAATAAAAGAAATAAAAACATCTCAGCAAAGCTATATATTCTATTAATAGGAGAAAACTGTCCTTATGAAACATCTGAATCAAGGGAAAATGGAATGAAATTAATGTTATGTTTTGGATGTCAAAAATGGCTCATAAACTTAAGTTATATTCTCCAGTTATTCAACTAATTATAGTCATAAGAAATAATTCTATCTTAATTTACTGATGTTTACTCCCATGCCAGATTCTCATGTTATTTTAATCTTTCCTCACTTACTACTGATATTCTTTAAATCAGAATATTAAAAAAACAAAAGCAAAAAGCAAATTGTGAATTTGAGTAGAAATGGAAATAAGAAATTCCCTTAGGCTCTCTGCCATCTGTACCTTTCAGTTCTGATGTCTGTCTGACGCACGTGAGCTTTGTATGGTACTCTGGTAACTTGTGCATTCCCATGTCTCCCTTACAGCGTAAAAAGCTGTGATGAGTCACTGTCAAGGAAGAAAAAAGTTACTTTCATTTTCTTATATAACCACTTAATTAGGAAAATGGGGCCTAATCTCTCTAACCTTTCTTTTATCCTAATAGTTAAAGCCCTCACATTTTTTTTCTTCTTATGCAGTTCTATTCTAGTTCCAGGTGAATTGGTTGGAAGCAATTGTTGAAAATTAACGTTTTTATTATCATATTGTCCATTTTGTGCTTTACAGGAGTAATTTTGCAAACTTCTATGTGCACATGCCTTTAAGCATATATTTCTATCAAAATTTGTGTTAGAGTGGGGAATTTTGGTAAGCACTAGAATAGTTCTGCGAAGTTTTATAAGCCTTATGTGTTTTTTAATATTTTTACTTTAAAATATGACCACATGTAAAAAAGTGGAAAACATAAATATGTAGTTTAGCAAATTATTGTAAAGTGAACATTCCAGGTAACTGCTACCCAGTTCAAGAAACAGAACATTGGCAACACCCTAGGTAGCCTTCACATCACAAAGGCAACCCTCTTTTTCCCCCTTAAAGGTAATTCTGTGGCTCTTAAAGTAACCACTCTGTGCTTTGCCTCACAATTTTACCATTTAATAACATATCCCAAAACCACATAGATCAGATTTGCCTGCTTTTGGGCTTTCAATATGTAATCATCTGGTATGTACTCTTCTAATCCTATCTTCTGCTCAGCATTGTTTCTGGAATTTATCCATGTTACATGTAAGCATAATTCATCCATTTTCATTGCTATAAAGTGATCTATTGTCTTCGTCCAGTAAAACATATTTATCCAATCTACTTCTGGTGGATATCTGAGCTGTTTTCAGTGTCTGGCTGTTATGAACTGTGCTACTCTGAGCATTTTTGTCCACGTATCCTAGAACACGTAAGCAGGCATTTCTGTAGGGTATAGATCTAGGAGTAGAATTGCTGGTAATAAGGTATGCATATTGTAAATACTGGTAAACTTTTCCAAATCTCCCACCAGCAGCAATTAATTAACAGTCCAACATCAATACTTGGTAGTACCAGACTTTTTCATTGTTGCCGTCCTGTTAGTGGCATCGCATTGTGAGCTGCATTGAACTTCCCTGATAACTAATGAGGTTGGCCTTCAGCATGTGTTTATTAGACATTTCATTTTCTCTTTTCTATTGTGCCTATTTAAGACTTTGCCTCTTTTTCTATTTTATTGTCATTATTTTTCCTATTCATTTGAAAGATTTTTTTTATATATTCTGTACACTAATCCATTACTAATTACATGCATTACAAATATCTTCTTTATGGCTTTCTGCTTTTACTTGTAGTGGTAACTTTTGCTGTACAGTAAATCTTATTTTAATATAGTATATTTTGTCGGTGTTTTCTTTATTTTCTAGTGCATTTTGTGACTTAAGAAATCATTCTCTGCCTCAAGGTCATGAAGACATTCTCCATTTATTTTCTTAAAATTTTGTTGATTCACTTTTCACATTTTGGTCAACAATCCACCTTGGATTGGTTTTTGTACATGGCATGATACAAGAGGCTAATTTTATTTTTAAAATATAAATAATCAATGGGCTGTACAACATTTGTTGAACAAAACTGTCCCTTTCCCATAGCTCTGCAATATCCACTTCTGTTTTATAGAAAGAGTTTTTTTATGCAGGATCTGTAACTAAGCTCTCATTATTTTTCTTTGGTCTATGTGTCTTACATCTATACCATATTTCTTAAATTGTAGTAACTTTATTTTAGATTCCGATATCGGAAAGAATGTCTTGCTATCATTTTGAGGGTGGTAATGGTATCAGGGGTGTATACTTATTCCGAAACTTCAGATATATACATTAAACATGTGCAGCTTTTTATGTGTATATCAGACTTCAACAAAGGCGTTTCAAAAAAAAAAAAACAAAGAAAGGACAAGTGTTCCAGCCTTGTTCTTTTCAAAGCCAGTCCATCTAAAAGTTGCTTTTTTAGCTGCTTGCTCTTTACTCATAAAATGCAGTCCTTTGTAATCCCAGTCCAAAATGGGAAATAATTTACTACATTCATCGATATGGTTTAGATGGTTGGCCCTTCTGAATCTTATGCTGAAATTTGATCCGCAGTGTTGGAGGTGGGGCCTGGCGGGAGGTGTTTGGGTCATGGGGGCGAATCCCTCATGAATGGCTTGGTGCCCTCCCATGATAATGAATTCACATGAGAGCTGGTTGTTTAAAAGAGCCTGGCACCTCCCCCTCCCTCTCTTGCTCCTGCTCACCTTGACACACCTGCTCCCCCTTTGACTTCCACCTTGATTGGAAGCTCCCTGAAACCCTCACCAGAAGCAGATGCCAGAACCATGCTTCTTGTATAGTCTACAGAACTGTGAGCCAAATAAACCTCTTTTCTTTATAAATTACTCAGCCTCAGGCATTTCTGTATAGCAGCACAAAAGCGGACTAACGCACTCATCAACTTTTACATATACAGAAAATGGTCTAAATTCCATCTTTCATCCCCTTACATAAAGGCAACACTATCAAAAAATAGAAGGTAAAGTATGTAACTCTGAATTTTAAATCCAAGACCCCAAAGACATTATAGATTGATTATGCTAGGGAAACTGAAGATAGTAAAGGCTTAGGGCAACTTTTATGAAAGTTATTTGGGAAAATAATTCAAGAAGAGTTCCACTTTGGCTAACAACTTACCCAAACAATTTGCAATAAAGCAGGCACTGAGAAGTGCAATGAGAACAACAGCAATAATCCAAGGAACCCGCTGGGAATGCTCACCTCCTTCTATTAGAACAAAAACAAAAATAAAGAGGTTAAACTCCTCTCAGCTGCAGGATAGGGAAGCCAATTCTACCAAGAAGTAAGCTAAATGTGAGAGCATCCAAAATATTTTAAATCTAGAGAAAAGCTTTAATATTTCCTCTGAATAAATCAATTTTAGAGCTTACTGATAAATGAATAAATAAGAAAAAATGGTAGTAATTTTTTTAGTAATTTTGGAATAAGAAAGACTTTTTTTTCGTTTTTTTTTTTGACAGAGTCTCACTTAGTTGCCTGGGCTAGAGTGCAGTGGCATCAGCCTAGCTCACAGCAACCTCAAACTCCTGGGCTCAAGTGATCCTCCTGCCTCAGTGTCTTGAGTAGCTGGGACTACAGGTGCGCACCACCACGCCCAGCTAGTTTTTTTCTATTTTTAGTTGCCCGGTTAATTTTTTCTATTTTTAGTACAAATGGGGTCATGCTCTTGCTCAAGCTGGTCTCAAACCCCTGACCTAAAGCGATCCTCCACCTGGGCCTGCCCAGAGTGCTAAGATTGCAGGGTAAGCCACCGCGCCTGGCCAAGAAAGACATTTTTAAGCATGACAAAAAAACCCAAAAGCCATAAAAAAAGAATTTAATAATTTGGGTATATAAAAATTAAATGTATATATAACATAAACAATGTTATAATACAAGGCACACATGGGGAAAAAGTTTTGTCATAATTTCCAGACTGTATAAAGAATCAAAAATCAATTAGAAAACTGAGAAAAACTTTGGGAAATTTGCTGAAAATTTAATTTGCTGAAATCATAAATGGCCATTAAACAAACAAAAGTATGAACAATAATGGAACTATAAATTAAAAGATTGTGGTATAATTTCTTCATATCAGATTGTAAAAGGTAAATTAAAAATGTGCAGTATTGGCAGGCTGAGGGAAAATAAGCACTCTGGGTGAGAAAATAAAGGCTGTTGCTGAGACTGTAAATTAGAAATGTCTTTTGGAAGGATCAATTTAGTAGCATTTATCAATTTTTAAATGCATTACACTTGTCACAATGATTTCAATTATAGGTATCTATTCTACAGAAATAACTGAACTTATTTATGTTAAAGGATATTCATTTCATTATTTTGGGGAACAGAAAAAAAACAACAAAACTGCTGGAATCTAATACTTAACATGTATATTATCAATAGCAGAAATTCTAAATTATGGTGAATACATATAATGAAATTCTATATAGCAATTAAATAATCCTGTATATTAGTGTGTTCAGACATAAAAAATCTCCAAGACATATTGTTACATAAAAAGGTATTTTTAGGAACTTTGTACAGTGGGCTCCTATTGAAGTTTGCCATGGTAGGGTGATGAGATGAAGCAAAACTTTAATTTTAAATTTACATATTTCCACATTTGTTCTATATATTTCTCAAAAATATTATTTAATGTTCTTGCAATACAAATCCACTGGTGTATCTTAATCCAAACATAAAATGGAATGGTCAGAGCCTCTGATACACCATGAGCCTAAGTCAGTGTGTTTTATACATCTTCCTTCTCTCTCTCTCTTCTGTAAAAGAATCTTACCACATTACTCTCTTTCCATCTTATTCCTGTTTTATATACTTTATCACCTCTCTTGGTTCAATCTACATTTTATGAAGAAGGTTCTGCTACCCAACTTGTTTGAATCTATGCCCTTCCTCTTAGCCAAATTTATCTTCATTTCCCTTCCACCTTCTCCTCCCCACTACCATCATCTACAATGTTTAAAGCTACAGTCAATTCATAGTTTTAAATGTAGTCATAATTCAAACTGCCTCTCTGAAATTGAAAGGAGACAAAGTACCCACCTTTACTTTGAGATTCTTCTAGCCCCATGTGTGAATACTCTCTTGCTCAGTGGTCAGGAGGAACGGGAACCTCTTTTATTTATTTTTTTCCAGAGTATATTTCTGTGGGTAGAGAAATATACTCAGAAAACATTGGAGATTGAACACGAACCTTACCTATTCTGGTGAAATTAGAAAGGTCCAAATATAACTGAGTTAACTCAAAAGGAGAAAACTTTTCAAAGGCTGGGGTTTCCGTTGATTCACTCTGGGAGATGAAGCAAACGAAAAAAAAAAAAAGAGGAAATTGAGAAAGCAATGCCCATTTAGTAGAAACTTTCACAAGCATGTTTAAATCACTAGGTTGGTGTGTCATGTGGAATTTCTCAATTTGCTTTTTAGTTATTTAGACAGGAAATTTAGCAATACCCTAAAAAAATAATTATTATGCCCAATAAAAATTTAATAAACATCCCCTCATCTTTCTTTCTTGAATATTATGTTTTCAAAGGCATGCTACCTACTTGAGATAAGCTCTGCCCTAGAAAGGTCTCTGAGCTGGATGAGAAGTTGTGTCCAAGGTGGCAAAAGACAATGTTGAGAAATGAACAAAAGCTTTGACTGTACCCACTGTGCCTACATTGTATGTGAAGACACAAAAACCTGAAAACCTTTTTTTGGAGTTGAGGAAGAGGTGAAGCTGTTGATTAAACCCCAAGATCTTCCTGGGTAAGAGAAAATAGGCTTGTCAAGGCAAAGGAAAAGAAAAGGTAAGATTCTGTGGTAAAGACACCATTAGGGTCCCAGACTTCACTTACGGTACTGTTATGGAGTGAAAGTCTGTGTCCCCCCCAAAACTCATTTGTGGAAGCCCTAACCCCCAGTGAAATAGTATTTGGAGGTGGGATTTTTGGGAGGTAATTAGGTGTAGATAGGTCATGAGGTTTTTATGATGGGATTAGTGCCTATTAAGAAGAGATCAGAGAGTTTTCTCTCTCTTTCTCCTCTCTCTCTCTCTCCCTCTTCTCTCTCTCTCTCTTTCTCCTCTCTCTCTCTCTCTTTCTCCTCTCTCTCTCTCTTCTTCTTCTCTCTCTCTCTCGTTATTGAATAACAAGAACCTTAGAAGAGATATGAAAAGAAAAAATTGAAGTCATTGTTAATGGAGAGTAAGAAGGAAAAACTGATATATTTTAATTATATCAATTAAAAGTTGATTTAATTTAAATATATATTGGTATATTTAACACCTACTAAGAGAATGATATTATACTTAGATATTATTGCAGCATCTTTACTATCTGTGGGCTTTAACATTGTTATACCTATGTGATCATATGATCAGTGATCATTCAAGTTCAGGGATGATAGAAGTTCAAGGTGACTTTCAGCTCTTTGATATTCCATAAGCTAATTCCTGTTTCCTGTAACCATGAAAGCAAGCAGAGCTTTCCTAGGTAATAAGCCACTGGATGCTCCTATGGAGAATCATGATTGGAATGGCCTGGATGTAGACTCTGGTCTCTCACAGGCTCAGCGTCTGCATGATGCTGACTCCTGCCATGCTGTGATGAAAAACAAAAACACAACCAAACAAAACTACTTCTCTGAGGTTAAACAAAACAAAATACAAAGGCTTTTGAAAAGTGACCCTAGTCATGTCAGGCTACTAGGTTGATTATTATGTTGGTCAGACAACCCTTTCGAAAAACCAAACTAACATGAAGCAACCAAGCCCAGAAATGGAGATGAATCCATGGAATATAAGCCTGAGAAGCTTGCTAGAGTGCAGGATCCAAGACAACCTGCTTTTCAAAATTTTGCAATGCACTGCAAAGTCTGTTAGTAGAGAAAATTTTGAGCTCCCCTTCTATTGACTGTGAATTCTCTTCCACATCATGGTTTTCTGTTTTCTGCCATCTTCATTTTATAACTCTGTCAAACACTATTCCATGCTATCCCACAGGTAAATTAGTGCTCTGAAGTACAATGAATATTTCAGCCCAAATCTTGTATCAAATTTAACACAAGAACAATACTCTCGCCTATAGAGTTTTGGGGCTTATCCTAATGATAGACCCTGAAAACACATGTATAGGAAATAATATAACAAGGAAATCCTGGTGAAGAAACCAGGGCCAGAAAGAAGATGAGAATAAAAACTAATCACTCAGTCACAAAATTTAGTGAGCATCTACTATGTGCTAAGCACTTTGTATGTGCTGGGAATATGGCAGGGAATGTTGCCTTTTGCTGATTCCACAATTATGTGCCAAGGACTCCTCCATGCAGTGGGCAAAAAACAAAACTTGCCTGTCCTCCTGCCTGTCCTTCCCTGACATTGTGCTAGGAAACAGATTTTCAACAAACACATATTATGTGAAGGGAATTGATCAGAAAAAATTACTGGGAACAATAAGAAAAATGGGAGGACATGAGCTAGTCCGGGCTGGGCAAGGATGTGGAGAGAGGAAGGAAGGCCTCCCTGAGGAGGGTGACCTGAGGAAGGGTGCTGCTGTCCCACCACATCCCCCATGTGCCAGAGGCTTAGAATAGGTGGCACCCTACTCAAGGTTGCACACTTAGCAAATGACTCACTAATTAGATGAAAAACAGGGTCCCTTTCAAACGTGACAGAGACAGTATATTACAAAGTATTTGTCTCATTCTTCATTCCAGCAAAACATTATGAAAGATTAATGCACAAAAATGACAAACCAGTGCCCATAAACCCAAAATGTTTTAAAAGACCAAGCATGAAGAAACGATCCTAACTCTTCCAGACGAAAAAACGTATAGACCTCTTCAAGGAAAGAAATAAATTTGACATTTGATTTATCAACCTAACTGGGCAATGAAGGCACATGAATCGCACCTCCATAGGTCACCAGGCCTTGTGTTTCTTCGCCTCAGGGAAGATTTAGCATATAAGAATGAAAAGTTACTTGTAACAAACAATATTCCTTTCTCCCCTTTGTTTTCCAGAAGATGGAAATAGTTGGAGTGATTAGGCAAAAGGGCAGATAAAGAGACAGAAGGGAGATTTCCAAAGACTTAGATGAGAACAAAAGTTATCACATTCCAATAGCCCTTATAACTTGTATTCTGCACCCTGAAGGCTCCCAAAAGTGGGTAGACCCATAGACGCAAGCAGAACCCATGTTGAACAATGGGACAATCAGTGGTGACCATGACAAGCTGAAGATTAAGAGTCCTTCTCCCTTTGTGTTATCTTCTGGACAACACATAAGCTTCCTGGATTCTCATGCAATGCAGTGGTGAGAAAGGAGCTCCAAAATGACTGAGACTGGATTTCTTGCCAGGCTAGCATAACAGGGTCTTAGAATCAGATTTGTTTTTATTTAAAAACATGTGAAAATTTTTGCACACTCAAGTTTGTCAGCAAAGAATTATACCCAGCACAACACAGAGAAAGGAACAGTATACAAGAAACAGAAGAGCCAGGAAGGGACGTCCCTGGATGAACAGCCTAGGGTGGAGCAGCAGCAAGACTCTGAGAAACTCAGATTAAAGCAGCGTGCAGTGGAACAAACAGAGTGATTGGGAGGACTGAAGATCAAGGGTAGAACAGAGACACATTACTCAAGGAAAAGTAACCAGCAGTATCAAAAATAAATAAACAAATAAAAGCTATCTGAGAAAGTCAGGATCCAAATAGAAATCAAAATAAAATATGGCTTGAGTTGTAATAATTGGTAGAGTCTAAGAAAATAGAGTCCATCTGATCTGAGTGATAGAAGCAATCTCCTCTGAATAAATTGGAATTGAGGTGTGGGACCCACAGAGAAGGAAACAGTAGCTTAGCCTATATCCTGGCCCCAAAGAGGCATGGTTATGTAACAGTTTCCTGATTAGAGTGGGCCTTCAGATAAAGTATGGACATGTGGTCATGGCTGCAATATAGAATGTGTCAACAGCCATAGCAAGGCGAAATTTAAAATGTGGCTGAAATAGGAAGTCAAAGAGTAAAGAAACATGAGGGAAGTGTAGGAACCACCACTCTCTTTTTAACAAGATGTAACAACAACAACAAAAAAATAGATGGCCAAGAATAATATTTAAAATTACAAAAGCAACCAAATTAACTAAAAATAATAATCATCACTTAATTTTCAAAATTTGAAATAGAAAAAGTGAAAATATAAAGGAAAGCAAAAAATAATTAGGGGAGCGGTAAGTATTGGATTGTAATTCACAGGACTAGAGATATGAGTTTTATTTAGAATCATTAAAGAAATCACCAGAAAATTTTAGGAAAAAAAAAGTTCAAAGGATTTGTATCTGCACAGTAGGGCTAGGAAACACCGTGCTTTACATAATAAACTCTTTGGAAATTTTTGAATTATCATCTTCTCCATATTTTATTTTGTTTTTAATTTTTTTAATTTTATTTTAGGGCTATATGATGTCAGTGTTTGCATTCTTTTCATTATTGCATAGTAACAAAACAGGCACGATAAGAGTATAAGTTAGTACAAGTAATTACAGAATTACTATGACAACAGTTAATCCCTCTGAGTGTATTAGAGGACAAGAATAAGAATGAGGAATCTATTATATAATGTCCAGAATGCATGTCTAACTCAGACGTGGTTGAAGATATTTTCAGTCTCTGAAGGAGTCTAAACCAGCTGCTGGAGAAAGTTTAAGCCACTGCTCACACTTGAAATCAGACAAATAACAGCACTAAAAGTATTGATAATAGATGCTAACAGGTACATCTGTTATTTAACAGCTGAAGGAAGGGTTAAAAAGAATAGGATTGGGCTCGGCGCAGTGGCTCACACCTGTAATCCTACCACTCTGGAAGGCCAAGGCAGGTGGATAGTTTGAGCTCAGGAGTTCAAGAACAGCCTGAACAAGAGCAAGACCTCATTTCTACTAAAAAAAAATAGAAATAAATTAGTTGGACAACTAAAAATATATAGAAAAATTAGCTGGGCATGGTAGCACATGCCTGTAGTCCCAGCTACTCGGGAGGCTGAGGCAGGAGGATTGCTTGAGCCCAGGAGTTTGAGGTTGCTGTGAGGTAGGTTAACGCCACAGCACCCTAGCCAGGGCAACACAGTGAGACTCTGTCTCAAAAAAAAGAAAGAAAGAATAGGATTGAATGTTAATTGAGCACAGGGTCAAATATTCATCAAGAAACCTGAATCATCGGCATAATATCGATGATATGATATTATATCTAGAAAACCCCATGGATTCATTCAAGAAACTCCTAGATTTGATAAATGAATTTAGTAAAGTTTCAGGTTACAAAATCAATATATACAAATCAGAAGCATT